GTGTGTGTGTGTGTGTGTGTGTGTGTGTGTGTGTGTGCCTGTTTGCATATGCGCACTGTGTGTGCATGCATGTGTGTGAGCCATGTGTGTGCACCATGTCTGCATGTGTGTGTGTGCAGACTGGGAAAAGAGACTCCGGGGAAGCACCTCACCTGCGGGGGCTGTGTTTGCTTGACAGCTTCCTCTGTGGCAGCTCCCTGGCGGGCGGCAAGTGCTTGCTCGGCCTTGGTCAGTGGTGTGGCTCACACTCCTGGTCCCAGGAGCCTTCTGTGAGGGTGAAACTTCCTGGGGCACTTCCTCCCTGGAGGGACTCGGCCTGCTCCCTTTGCTCCTGGACAGCCCAAACCCCGATTCCAAAGGGCCAGCTTGAACCTTGCCCTCCTGGGAACAGAGGTGGGGCTTAGTTTGTTAACAATCTGGGGCCAAAGAGCTTTCCTTAAAGGCCTCACCTGTGGGTGCCCTCTCCCAGCTGCCAGCAGAGCAAAGCTCCCTCCTGCCTTCACATCCTCAGGTGGCAGCGCAGGGCCGGGCACGGAGCAAGAACGTGTGTCCTGGTCTCAGCAGCACAAGGCCCTCCTTAGTGCTGGCCCTCGGGGAAATCAGTGACCCAGAGGCACAGGGGCCCCAGGAGGTGACCAGGGACCTGCTCACGCATCTCTCTGAGCACCGTCAGCTGACAGGATGTCTCCTTGGACCGTGGTACCCTGGGCTCAGCCAGGAGGTGGGCCCTGCCGCTGGTCACTCTGTGGGAACCATGGTGGCCAGGCCAGATGCTGCAGAGCCTTCTCCTGGTGGCCGCCCCTGGCCCCAGTGCAGGAGGGGCTCAGGCCCTGGTGTGGGTGACCCCGGAGCAAGTCAGCCAGCTGGGCTTGCTGATTTTCAGCGAGGCTTGACCAGCACCTGCTCTGTGCAGCTGAGCAGCACCCAGCCAGCCCGAGGGACATAGCAAATGGCCAGGAGGTTGCCCTATGTGCTGCTGTGACTGCTGTCACCCCCAGTGCTGCTGGCCGGGGGTCCCTGATGCCTGGCCCCTGAGGGAGAGAGGCAGCCCTGCCTTGATGAGCAGGTCATGTCCTGATGTCCAGGGACCTGGGGTCAGGATGCCAGACATGGCCTAGCCCCTGGGTCACACTTTCCCTGCAGGTTTGTGCCGGGCGCCTAGATCAGGCCCAGGCTGGGTAGTGGGTTGTGGCCTATCAGGAATGTGGGTGGCTCCCAGCCTGGCCTCCCTTGGGAAGCAAGTTCAGACTTGGTAGCGGACACTGCCCCAGCCCCCCAGGGAAGGAAGGCAAGCCTTGTGAGACCAGCTGCAGGCGTCTTTCCTCAACTATGTGGTAGCCATCCACTGCCCTGTCCAGGGCAGGCCCGGACCCTCGGGGGCCCTGACAGGAGGGTCTGCTGGCCTATGTGTGGCCACAGACCCACTGGGGTGGAGCATCTCGAAGCTCAGGCCATCGGGCAGCTCTGTGGGAGCTGGGGCTGTACCCGTGCCAACAGACACTGACGTGAGGGTGTCCGGATATGGTCAGACCATCAGGCCCCGGCCAGCAGCATCCTCCCTCCCCAAGGGCTGTCACATCAGGATCCATTCATCAGCCACTGTGTCCTGGAACACAGGGACACTGTGAATGGAGCAGGGGCCAAGGAAACCGAGACCCTCCTGAGGCAGGCCCAAGGCAGCAAGGCGGAGGCCAGCACAGAAAGCATTAAGTAGGAAATGACAGGGGGGTTCTCCAGTGACAAGGTGTTAGCTGGTTACATGGCTGCACTCAGGACTTCTCTACGGTGTTCACGAAAGAGCCCTGCTGGCACTGCCCCATAAGAGTTGGACGGCTGGCAGTTCAAACCCACCAGCAGCACTGAGGGAGAGAGCTGAGGCTGTCTGCTCCAGTGGAGAGGGAAGTCCTGCCAAGCCCCGACAGAGAGGGTTGCTCAGAGCGGGGATGGACTCGCTGGCCATGGGGCTGCTTTGTGGTGGTGCCCTAAGTCTCCTGGGTGTCACACACGGTCTGTGCTTACATAGCAACCCCACGCGCTACAGAGGGAAACAGCACCCGGTCCCGCGCCATCCTCACCACGTTCTGATGTCTGAGCCCATTGTTGTGGCCACTGTGCCCATCTGTGTCATCCAGGGCCTCCCTCTCGCTGCCCCTCCGCTTTACCTGCCAGGACGTCTTCTCCAGGGCCTGGCCTCTCCTGACAACAGCCTGGCCGTACTTCTTCCAGGACAGGTCTGTTTGTCCTTCTGGAAGTTTGATGGCTCACTCCAGGTGGAGGTTCAAACCCACCGGTGGGGCCAGCAAGAGAGGCCTGGCTGCCTGCTTTGTAGAGATGGCCGCAGAAGAGACCTGGGCAGTTCCGCCCTGTGACACGGGGGCCGCCACCAGTCTGCACTCCTCTGAGACCACTGGGTCACTTGTCCTGTAGGCAGGAGCGTGTGACACTGGGGACGTGGGTCCCTTCCTCAGATTGCACCCGAGGATACCACCGGTTGGACAGCTCTGCAGGCCATGGCTCTGCTCCTGAGACAAGGGACCAGGGGCGCAGTCAGGTGGGAGATGGGGCTGTATGCACGCCAACAGGAGCAGGGGTGCCCTGAGCTCCCCTGAGCGTCAAGTCCTGGACCACGGCTGCTCACTCACCGCAAGATCTGACCACAGTGAAGGCAGGCGGGGGGTGGGGGGGAGGGGGGGTGGGGGGATGGCCCACTCCAGCTCCCTGTTGTGGAAACAAAGGCAGGGGTAGGGGTGGGGGTGGGGGGCAGTGAATTGGTCTTTAGCTTTTCAGAAGAAATGTGTTTTGCAAATCCCTAAGCAATTACCCTGAGAGTGGAATTTTCGGAGCTTGTTTTTCCTTGAGTGTAATCAGGAAATTGATCTCTGATTTTCTTGGGAACGCTGCATTCTCTTAGATCGGAGCTGGTCTGAGGAGCCTGGGGTTTTTGTTGTGCCAACAACAGCTCTGCTGGGCAGCTGTGCTGTGCTGTGCGCTGGGAGCACAGGGAGGCTGGGCTCCTGCGGAAACACCAGCCCCTTCCCTCTGTAGGCAGACCAGCACCCGTGCAGGTGCCGGGGGCCTCCCAGGCAGCCTGGGCCCAATGCCCGCCATGGTTCCCACCTGCTGTGTGCTGTGTGCCCCAGGCCATCCCTCCGGCCACGGCACACACAGAGACAGACTCGGCAGTGTAGTTGATTCACATCGCAGTTCAAATCGCACTGCTTTCGGACCCACTGCATCGAACTGCCTCAGACGGTAGGGGCACCTTTGGGGGCATAGAGGACAAGGGGTCCGTAGAGGTCCTGTTGTGTGGCCCTCGGCAAGGGGTCTGCCATCGAGCTCCTCACGGAAATGTGGGGTCAGTGATACTCCATGGGGGACAGTCCCTGTGGGACTGTCCGACACAGCACAGGGGAGAGCTGCCCTTGCGGGGTTCCCAGACTGTCACTCGGGACAGGTGTCGGAGCCTCGTCTTTCTCCCTCCAGTGGCTGAAGGTTTCCACCCGCCGACCTTGCGCTAGCCCAGCCTGACCTGACGTGTAACCTCTGCCCCCCCAGGCACCCCAGAGCCCGTGTTGGCTGTTAGGGTCCATGAAGCCCCGCCCAGGGCCCGGACCCCCACCCCGTGGCCCCGCCCACCGGATCCCCGGAAGAACACCGAGGCCTCCTGGAAGAGGCCGCCTGGAGGACCAAGGAGCCTGGCGGTGCAGCGTCTCAAGTGCGTGGCTGCCCTGGGAGGGCAGTGGCTGGACTGGCCCTCTCCCTGGGAGGAAGGTGTGCTCCTGGAGACCTGTGAGGCAAGCCGACCCTCTGCGGGGCCACTGGGAGCAGGGCAGCAGGGCCTTCGGGTCAGACCCTGGATTGCTGTTTTCCTCCCACCCTGAGAGGAAGGGGGACTTCGCTCGCTCCTCCTGACCTCTGACCGCAGATGGCGTGTGCACCATAAGAAAGGTACGGGACTGTCGTGCTGTGGACCAGCCACGGAGGGGGCAGATTACTGCAAATCGTTTGGCGCTCTGGTGGCGCTAGGGCTTAGGCATTGGGCTACTGACAGCAAGATCAGCGATTCAAGCCCACCACCAGCAGCTCCGAGGGGAGAGCGGAGGCCGCCTGCTTCTGAGAAGACCTGCAGCCCTGGAAACCCCGCCTTGTGAATTGGATGGCTCTCAGTGACCTGGGGACTTGAGTTTGACAAGGCATTTAAGGAAATACGGGCATGTGAAAATTATAAAGCAGTCCCCAAATATGATATTCAAAGAGATTACACACCAAAAAATCACGCTGTAACAGCAGAAAAGCAGAGACAAAGGAAGGATTGTTTTCTTGAAAGCAGCCCTCGTGGGGCGCCCCTGGAACCATGGGATGGAGTGCGTGGGGGAAGCACCGGCCTGGAGTTTCATACTCAGCGCCCTGCCCTTCTCAGGTGGAGGGAATGGAGAGAATTGGCTCCAGCAGGCTCGGCGCCAAAGGAAGCCGTGCAGGTGGGAAATGGAGGACGAGACCGGAAGGTGAGTCAGAGCTGCAGGAAGGAAGAGCAACCAAAATGCTGAGTTTCTGGGGAAACAAACAATGGTTCTTCTTTATGGAGGCCTTTAACATGCCCGCGGGGATGAGAGAAAACCAGCCCTACTGTCCGAGGTGCTGTCAGTCTGCGGAGATGGGCCCAACGTACATCGGGGGTGGGGGAGTCAAGGGACAAAGATGGGAGTAAGGGTTCTGTTTGCCGCCTGAAGTGTTGCAGTATTAATTCTAAGTAGAAGTGAAAATTAAAAGTGTATTTTGCAATCCCTACACCAACCACACATTCTCACAGCTCCACAAATGACATAGACCAAACTCCAAGAGAGAAAATAGCATGAAGTATTTTTAAAAAATCCATCAAGCCAAAAGAAGGCAGAAAAGGTGAAGTAGAATGAAAAATATGGGTGTCAAACAGAAAGCATATGAGAGTACACTTAGATAGCAATATATTGATAATTAAACAAAAACCTGTGTGTATCAATAAAACAGTCCTGGGCTTACTGTCAAGCCAACTGCAGAACCACGTGTGTCGCCTCAGGACACAGTGCGGACCCCTGCAGGTAAACCGGGGCATTACGAGTAAGTCGCAGTGCTGTGTTCCTGCTGGACAATGTGGAGGACTGCAGAGCAAGACAGACCGGCCAACAAAGAAGAACGTGGAGCAACAATCGGAGGTTCAAGGCCCGAAGCGGACAGACCCTCTGGGGCGTCTATGTGCAGAGACAAACGGGTGGGACTGGAGGGGCAGCATGGGCGCTGCCTGTCTCCATCCCTGGAGACGAGACACAGGCCAC